TTTCGGTAAGCGCACACCGGATGAAACCGAAATGACGAGCACGAACACTATATATAACAATATAAGCGCGTGTGTTGTCGTTTAGCATTGTTGTTTGTGGTTAAACCCAGTTTGGCTGCTATTTTCCGTAATCATTCACCAACTAGCCCACAAGTACGTATATTTGAAACCTGTTCATCGGAATCGCACCTTGAATCGCTGTGTGTGTAAATGTGGACTCACCACATTGACCGGCACCCTCTGGTTTTTCGGGGCAAGCTCGATACCCATAACAAATGGTTCTATGTGATGAAAGGAAACGTGCTTCACGAAGTCTGCTTCGGCGTTCAAAATATTTTGGACGCTTTGGCCTGCTAGACGCGTACTTGATATTGCAAATGTGCAAAAAGAACAGCATTATAAAGATTAGTAGATTCCACGTACCATGGGAATTGAAGATATGCGAAGCACGAATGAGGAAGTTTGAATTGTCACATCAAAATCAAAACAACATTTCGAGGCGTACGTTAATTATGCCGTACATAACTTCCATGTCATAATTACTGTTAGTATTACTGTTAGTATTACTGTTAGTATTACTGTTCGATTACTGTGAGTATTATTGCTTGTTATCTTCCTTTTTTCAATGTTTTGATGTTTTTGTATTTCCCCTCCTGCTTGGTAATGTGGCCTGCAGTATTTCTGTAAATAAATAAAACAAAATCAAGTTTGCATCTGCAATTTCTGCTTGTTATTCATTCACGTCACGTAATACAAATTTGATATGTGGGTAGCTAGCGAAACGACTGCGAGCACACCATGAACGTGGTGTATAGTCATGACTTACATGAGACGCATGCTATGATTTACACGTGAGGGCCTGTCAGTTATGTTCGCAATGCAGTCATGCCACACCATTACAATTTTGTGATATGTCATGTGAACTAAACCTCCACAGGAGCAACAAGACCATGACATGCCAATCATGACCTTCATGTCATACATGCCATCATTTTCATCTCATAACTAATCACTCATGCTCGTCATACAGCCATGCTATGACATACGAACTTTCGTATAGATCCCATTATTTAGACAGACAGACAGACAGACAGACAGACAGACAGACAGACAGACAGACAGACAGACAGACAGACAGACAGGCAGGCAGGCAGGCAGGCAGGCAGACAGACAGACAGACAGACAGACAGACAGACAGACAGACTGACTGACTGACTGACTGACTGACTGACTGACTGACTGACTGACTGACTGACTGACTGACTGACTGACGGACGGACGGACGGACGGACGGACGGGTGGACAGCGGACGGGTGGATGGATGGATGGATGGATGGTTGGATGGATGGATGGATGGATGGATGGATGGATGGATGGATGGATGGATGGATGGATGGATGGATGGAATGGGATGGATCAATGGATGGATGGTTGGATGAATGGATGGATGGATGGATGGATGGATGGATGGATGGATGGATGGATGGATGGATGGATGGATGGATGGATGGATGGATGGGAGGATGGATGGATGGATGGATGGATGGATGGATGGATGGATGGATGGATGGATGGATGGATGGATGAATGAATGGATGGATGGAAGGATAGATGGAGCAGACAACAATATGCTCTTTGGATGAGTAGTCTGTGCATAAAAGCGAATAAAGTGAGGCAATGACGGGGTTTTTTGCCTTTAAGAGTTTTCAGATCTTTTACTACGCTTAGAGAAACTGTGTATATCATTCCATTTTGCAGTTTTATTTGTTTGTAGTGTTTACAGCCGCAAGTATCGCATAAACTTCGCCGGGGAAAATGCTTGTATGAGAGTGCAGAACGTCGGCTTCTGAAAAGGATGGGCCGACGGCTGCGTACGAGACAGAAGTGTTATACTTTGAGGCATTCGTAAAGAACTCAGGACATGTGTATTTCTGTTGCAGTTCTAGGAAGTATGTCTGAATATGTGCAATTGGCGCATGCTTCCTAACCTCCAAGAAAGACTCGTCGCAATCGATCGCCTGCCACTGCCACGGTGGCAGGCATACTGCGGGAGCCATCAAACGGTGTTCAAGTGGCACACCAGTTTCCTTTACAAGGCCCCTCACACGAAGTGAGTAGGGCTGTCTCATAGAAGGCTGTTTCTGAAACACAACAAGGCTTGAAATGTCATGAATGGTTGAATGTGATGGATGTTCCTTGTCTGCCTTCACTTCAAGATATCATTTAAAAGACATGTAACATCTCTGTAGTTGAAGCGACCATTCGTTCGATTCCACGTACAGGCTTTCCACGGGGATGGTGCGAAAAGCACCCGTAGAGAGACGGATGGCTAGATGATGAACATAGTCAAGCATTTTAGGGACAGAAGGTGTCACAGACTGATATGCTATAGCCTCATAGTCTTGGCGAGTACGTATGAGGCTTGTATACAAATTGCTCAGACACTTCTTGGCACTTCCCCACGTAGTGAGTGACAACCATTTCAGAAATTTCATGAATTTTATGCACTTGTTTTTTTTTCAATACTTGATAATTGGTATGAAGGTTACCTTGGTGTCCAAGGTTAGGCTGAAGAATTTGTGTTCGGTATTCACAGAAAAACGTTGGCCATGCAGTTGAATATCGGGTTGAAAATGAATGCCTCTCTTCCTGGAGAACAAAACACACCGGCTTTTCTGTGGATTCAGTCGGGACCCAACTTCTACTGCCCAATCGGAGTCTTTGTTCAAGCCAAGCTAGACCTGCCACTCACATATGGCCAGATTGCAAGGTCTAAAGCCAAGCAGGACGTTGTTGACATATGTACAATAAAACATATTGCGAGGAATGGACAAGCGCAAAGAATTCATTTTGATAATAAAAAGTGGGCAGCTAAGTACACCACCTTGCGGCACTTATTTTGACAAATGTTTGGGAAAGAACGCTGCCTACTCGGACACGGAACGTCCAATTTCACAAGTAACTTTTCGATTATGGTAAACCTTCTGCCACGCAGGCCAAGGTCCCTTATTATTCCAAACAGGTATCTTAATATTCCAAAGCGCCATGTTGTATCGTGAGCCTTTTCGAGATCAATTAACACATAGAGAAAATATTGTTTGTGAAAGAAGGCGTGTCTGATCTGTGCCTCAATACAAACAAGGTGGTCGGTGGTAGATATACCCTCTCGAAACCCGCACTGAAATGGGTCAAGCAAATTGTTTGTTTCAAGGAGATGTACAAGTCGACAGTTCGTCATTTTTTCTAAAAGTTTGCACGAGTAGCTCGTAAATGCAATAGGCCTATAACTCGAAACTAAAGAAGGGTCCTTGCCCTGTTTCAAAACGGGAATAGTAATAGCCTTTTTCCAGGAAGTAGAGATAGCGCCAGAGAACCAGATAGCATTGCACAAATAAAGTAAAGATTTTGCGCTTCGATTGGTTGGTTTTTTTTAACATTTCTTACACCACATGATCAGAACCTGTGGCGGAGTCACTACAGGAGTTCAGTGATGCTTGGTGCTGAACTAAGTTGAAAGCTTGGTTGTACGCCTCGTATCTTCTACATTTGTGTTCGAGTTTTTGCTTTTCTATTTTTGTTCTATATTTTTGGAGAGCACCAGTATGGTGTGGCGAGCTGGACACCCGTTTGAAGTGTGTGCCGAGAAAGTTCGCTTGATTTTCTATGATCGCATCCTGAGTGTTTAAGAGTGAGAGTGTGTTCACTAGTCTTCCAGGTAATATACCGACCGTGTTTCAGACTTTCGCCTCCTGTGTATATGAATCGATCTCTGATAAAAGCTCGTGCCAGCTTTTTTTCTGGCCTTCCAACACGTTCTTCTGCCCTGAGGCTTTATTTTCTTAAAGCTGTCAAGATTTGTGGCTGTCGGTGAGTTCCGAAGCCACCTCCATGCTTTATTTTGTTCCTTGCGTGTATTTCGGCACTCAAAGTTCTATTATGGCACACGTCATTTTCCAGGGTGTCCATTCATTTTGTTGCTGTATCAATCGAACACGCTGTAAGGTACTTGACAGCAGCATCAATGCCTAAAGTACATATGTCGCGCCAACTTAAATGAGTGATAGTATGAAACTGTTCCCAGTCGGCATTGCTCAATGTCCATTTGGGACTATGTGGAGGGCATTCAATTGATGTAGGCGTGCTCAAAACTACGGCAAAATGGTCACTTCCATAGATATTAGTGATTACGTTCTAATGGAGTAGAGGCTCAAGCGATGGAGATACTATGCCTAGGTTTATGGAGGAATAGGTATTGTTAGCGAGGTTATAATAAGAATGGTTCTTTTCGGCTCAGAAGACAGGCACTGGAAGAGAGAAGAATCTGTTCAATAGGTCGACCTCTGGCGTCCCAGCGAGAGTCATCCCATAGCCTGCTATGCGCATTCAAGTCTCCAAGAAGAACAAAAGTTTCCGGCAGTTGATCGATTAATCAATAGACGTCATGTTTTTGTAGGTGATAGCTCGAAGCGAAGGTATGTAAAAAGGGCAAATTGTGATCAGTTTGTCGAAAAGCACAGCTCTAACAGCCACTGCCTCTAGGGATATTTGGAGTTGAAAGTGTGTGCATGCAATCCCTTGATTCACTATGATGGCAACACCTCCGGATGCTGTCACGGCATCATCATGGTCCTTTCAGAAAATAGTGTATTTACGTAGAAAGTTGGTGTGTTTTGGATTTAAGTGTGTTTCTTGTTCACACAGCACTTTTGGTGAGTTTTCATGTAAAAGTTATTCGACATCGTCAAGGTTGCTGAAAAGGCCCCTGACGTTTCATTCTACTATTTGTGTGTTCATGGTGAAAGTGAAGTAGGGCTGTGTATGAAGAGCGAGTGGCTGTTTAGGTGGGAAGTTTGAATTCAACAGGGTCGTCACCAGGCCCCGTTATCTGCTTTTTTTTTATTTCTTGACGGGCTCTGAGCAGCCACGCCGTTCTTTCGGCACCAAGGGTACCGACGTATTCATTGCCACCTTGGAGGCACTGGATGCCCGCATGTGCCCACTGAGTGGGCATCCAGCGCCCTTAGGGGCACTGGATGCCCACTCTTGGCCTCGCCTGGTGAGGCGAGGCCTTGACACCTGAGGACCCGGGAGTCTCCGGCCTCTGTCCAAGAGTAGGTGGAGTAGTCTGGACTATAGCCGCCTTTGGGGCAGGTGCCACAACAGCCGGCTCGGTTTGCGCGGGCCGAAGGAGCGTTGAGGGCTGGTGCGTCGGTGCCCCCTGAGGCACTGCATAAGCGTATGTTGGGCCATAGAATGGCTAGACTCTTTTCCTTGCTTCCTTAAGAGAAATGTTTTCTTTCACGTTCAGTGTTATTATCTCCGTTTGTTTCTCCCAGTATGGACAGGAATGTGAATAGGCAGCATGGTTTCCGTCACAGTTTACACAGTGCGATTGCTCTTTGCCGTTTTCACACCCGTGGCCCAGGCCTCCACATTGTTCACAGATCTAGCCACAACGACCACTTTTAGAGCCTTGGCCATACCTTTGACATTGGATGCAACGATGGGGTTTGGTATGTATGGCATGAGAGAGGTCTTCGTGTACCCTGTTTGAATGGTTTCGGGAACATTACTGGAAGCAAACGTGAGTATGCGGTGTTTCGTAGGTGTTTCTTTGTTGTCTTTTCTGATGATAATTCTCTGTATATTGGTCACATTTTGGCTCTTCTACCCCTCCAAAAGTTCAGTCTTGGTCAGGTCAAATAAGTATGCGTAGGATACCACTCCTCGAGTTGTGTTCATTGATCTGTGTGGTGTTACGGTGATCGGTACGCCACCAAAATTTGAGAGACGGTCTAGCTTTTCAAATTGTTCTTTGTCCCGAACTTCGAGCGGGAGGTCGCCGTTAGCCATTTTGGTTACCTTGTATCCTGCCCCGAGAGTTTCAGTAAAACACCTGGAAACTACGAAGGGAGATACGGTCTTGTCTTGCTTTCCAGTTTTCTCAGAGTGAATGACGTGACAGTGAGAAAATGTTTGTGTTGGCTGGCTTAAAAAGTTTATGTCATCGGCGCATACACGCTTCAAGCCAGTACGATCGGTAAGCAAGGGGAGTGTTCTACGCATGCCGGTTTTATTTTTATTCAGCAGCGTTACCAACCACCCACCATTGAGCCCAACGAGGGGACGCTACAAGTTTGTAAATACTGAAAACTTCCCGACGCCAGTCGTGCAACGCCACTATAACCCAATGCGCCCAGATCAAGGTAGGCTATTTGCACAGATCAAGGTGCGCAATTTGACATGTTCCTGGTAACCCTCGTTGCCAGAAAAATTGAAAGTAAAAGGAAGAAGCAAGAATACAGGAAAGATAACAAGTGATGGCAAAGACGAAGATGTAGAGAGAGAGAGAGGAGAGATAGGAAAAGACGACTGCCGATTTCCCTTGTGTGGGTCATTCCAGGGGTGTCCTCTACGCGCAGCCGGAGTCAAAGGAGTGTGCTGCCTCTGCCAGGGGTCCTGAAAGGTCCAATCACCCGGCGCCGGCTCAACCTCCAGGATCCCCTTTTTCCTGGACACGGCTCAGCCACGCACGGCAAGGCGTGGGAGGGATTCGAAACTCCCCCGTTTGCTCGGGTCCGTGGTGATGCAACGCACCAAACGCCTGCTCTCACAGACGCTCCTGCGGGGCGCAACCATAAAACGTTACAAAGAACCGAGTCCACTAGCTTTAATGCAGCCGAGTCAAAGAGAAAATGTGCTGCGATAGGAGTTGGTTGAAACTAAGCATCGAGTTAAAGAAAATAACGATGCTGCGAAGTATGAAAGCTTAATTTTCTGTGTGAGAGGCGTAGGAGAGACATGCGGAAGTAGGAAATTAATTATTATAAGGCAAGCGCCTTAGACGAAATGTCACAACATTGCACCTATATTCAATTGTAAGATAACAATTTCTGCATCATGTTTTTGCTATATGCCTTTATGGCCTTCGCTGACAGAATGACACTGTGACGCCTTCTTTTTTTCCCTCTTTCTCTATATATTTGCCTTCTTGAGTTATAAAGTGCGCAAACAAAGAAACACGAAACAGCACACCCATTTCGATCTTGTAACATCTTTGCACCTCCACACCCAAAAGAAGTGGACATTTAGAACCACGCTATAGGGTGCCTCAGCTAAAAATTACCAAGCTATAAAAAATTCAAAATGAGTGCTACGCTTCTCTAACTAGCACGGTATTGTTCTTAGCCATATGTAGAACGTCAAAATGTTTATTTATCCACGAAGCACGGTAATTACCAAAAATTGTTAAAGAACTTTTTAAATGCTGACTTTAGAGAAAGAAGTTTCAATCCAAACTGGGAGCCCTTATTCAGAAATAACAAAATATTTAACCTATGGTAAGATAACTACGACGGTTAACCGCTTTCCAGCGTTTGAATTAAGTTCATGAAATTCAAAAAAATACCAGGTGATTGCCGCCTAACGCGCGGCGCTTTCAGTGCCCTCAAATGTAAGTTGAACGAAAAGACATTTTTCAAGCACACTGCGCTCGTGGGAAAAGTTGGTACACCGCAGCAGCTACCGCGACGAGCGTTTGAGCCTCACGCTTTAGCTACCGCTTTATCTTTCCGTTTGTGCCGTGCCAGCGTTTTTCAGATCAATTGTACTTGGCAAGGTACGATATATTACTGCGTGAGGCACTCATATTTAGCTGTGACGACCTTCTGACTTCCACCTGCCTGCTGTTGAAACCAGCCGAGTGGCTCAGGGGTTTCTGTTTTTTATTATCTTTTAGAGCCAGCACACTCCGTAGCCATAGATGAAAAACAAACAGACAATCTGGTCGGCACTTTTTACGAATAAATACTAAGGTTCTGGTGTTTAAATTGAAAGAACCCAAGAAATAACCGGCTTTTGTAAAATAAAATACATTCACTAAACCGTGTGCGCGTCACTTCCAAAATATGCACATACCAACTTTACTTGGCACTGAAACTACAGGTTGGAATAAAAAATGTACAGGGTGAAAACAACGAAGCCCGTCAAAGAAATAAATGTATGTACACACTACACGAACGCTCACTCGCAACTGAAAAGTTATATGTCACGTGCTAAGAAACGTATGTGCGAAAATGGGGCGAACCGCGCATGTCACAAAGAGGCACAGAAATGCAAACCATATTTTATTGATATGTGGGGTTTAACATCCCAAAACCATCATAAGATTATGGGAGACGCTGTAGTGTATGGCTCCGGAAATTTCGACCACCTGGGGTTCTTTAACGTGCACCCAAATCTGAGCACACGGGCCTACAACATTTCCGCCTCCATCCGAAATGCAGCCGCCGCAGCCGGGATTCGATCCGGCGACTTGCGGGTCAGGTTGTTGGTGACTACAATGAACCGTGAAACTATGGTTGGATGGTACCGTTAAAAAAATCTGTTTTGCTGCATGGGTGAAACAATAAATGCAACAGCAACAACTTGTAATGTAAAGCTGAGAGCTGCAAGAAGATCGAACCAAGCGCTGCTCACGCGCACAAAGGACGCACGAAAAGAACACACACCGGATGAGGAGCGAACAACGTTTACCACTCGACACTTAAACGCTGTTTAAACAAAAATGGTGCACGAAGCATCATCTTAGGTAAACACGAGGGCAAACTAACAAGTGTCCCAGTTGTTATACTTCGCTGTGTATAAAAAGCATGGCCTTTTCGCAAACGTGGCTTGTGCAGCGAACGAAGTGACCTTCGTGGGCCCGGCAACTGTTTGATTGATATATGGAGTTCACTGTCGCAAAACCTCAATATGTTTATGAGAAACGCCGTATCGGAGGGGTCCGGAAATTTTGACCACCTAGGGTTATTCAACGTGCACCCAAGTCTGAGCACACGGAGCTGCAGCATGTTCGACTTCATCGAAAAAGCAGCCGCTGCAGCCAGGATTCGATCACGTGACCTGTGGGTCAACAACCGAGTACCTTAGCTACCACCACGGCGGGTCATGGGCCCAGCCACTAACGCAATCGTTCCGGTTAAAGCCGAAGGCACCTACTCCCCGAAAGATAAGCGCGCGTGCTCAAGCCCCCCTTCCTCCCCACTCTGCGGGGCAAAGTCCGCGTGAGAGATAAGCGCACTTCGATGCATCGGTACGCGCTGCGCGTCGAGCGCTGGCAGCTTTTTGTTTTGTTTTGTTTTCTATATTGTTTTTCTCATGTATAAATACGTAAGAATGACCCTACGCGGTGAATGACACTGACGCTGACATTGGCGGCAAAACCCAGCCGACAGTGTCCATATAAATGTTCTCGCAATAATAAATAGAAAGAAAGGAAGACAACAAACTTCGATGAAAAAGCGGCCTGGACGTGCAATCCGATACGAGACCGGAGGCATTAGGCGGAACAGCAACAGGCTATTCCTTCTTTTTTGTTGGCCAACTATAAACATCATGATGTGAGGGAGGGTGATATTGTAATAAAGTAAGAATATGAAAACTTCATCGGGAATCATTGCAGACGTGTATTTAGCCTTATTTGCATCGATTACGTGCGTGCAGAGGAGTACAATCGAGCGCTTCCATGAACATGCAAGCGCTCGATTGTACTCCTCTGCACGGACGAGTGCCAGATCCCATTAACGCCTCATCGGCACGAGAGTTGGATAGATTGGGAACTCCACTTGAGTAGCAGAGAGTTTGCAGTCTCTTTTACTTTACCACCGACGCCGCAAAGCAATATAACTGTCTCGTAGCCATACGCCTCTTAGCGTAGACACCCCAGATGTATGTTTAATGCGTCAAGTAATAGGATAGCCTACAGTGATAACAAAACTATGCTTGTGAGATCATGAATGTTTAGTTCCCGAAGCGCCAACACCAACACCTTCGAAGCATACAACAGCGGAACCATCTAAAGCGTTGCCAAAAGTAAGTTTACGGCACAATCAAATTGCTACTAGAGTAAGGAAAAAGAGCCAGCACATATTGTGCAAAAAAGGTAAAAAAGTTTCACACCGGTGTTCGAACTCGCCAACTACGTATGACGAGGCTGGTACTCTACCACTACATGCTCCCTGCAATGTAAAAAACTCGTTGAAAGAAAACTCGCCGTTTGGCTTCACCGGTCGTAGTTTGAACACACACATTTTTTCTAGTTTCTAACTAAACCTTGCGTCTTCATGATATCGGAACTACTGGTACCCACGCATTACATGCCACTAAGGCCAAGACGCCAAGTTTCTTTCACAATTCACAACATAGAAAAGAAAATATACAAAAATTACCGAGAACCGGGGGCAGATGATTTACTGCTGAGTGCAATAACCGTTACTCACTTTTTCGGCTGGTTGACGTGTGCCAAATTTTTATATAGACTGCAGTGCTCGATAAGTACGCGCGTAGTTGATTGAACTATGAGTATTTCCGTGCGCAAGCGACGATACGCTATTTGCATTGCCCATGGCCTATAGGTGGCGCACCGTGCAATCCAAGATGGCTGCGGAAAGATGATCAACCCGTGAACTCCCATAAAAAAG